ATTCATATGAAAACTACCGTCATCTTTTCAAGTCTTATAAAACTGTTTTACTTGGCATCTTTCGGTCCTGGATTTGCACATTTATTAAGTTTATCCTAAGTAGAGCCTTGTCTCATTATTCATAGATTCCATGTTAATGGATATGTCTATTTGACAAAGTGTATTCGTAACACCTCCCCACCAAATCAGTGTTCCTGGCACTTTTGCAGACAGGTGTTTACTGAAAGCAGTCAAGTTTCTTGGTATATTTAGTGGTAAATTTCTTTTTGCATCTTTGTGCTTATTATTGAGATGATTTCATTAATTGAAATATCCCTAAAGTTGAGGCTGGAGAGATGGCTCAGAGGACTTGCTGCTCTCAGAGGACCCAGGTTCAGGTCCCAGCACCCACATGGAGCCTCACAACTGCCTGTAACTCCTGTTCCAGGGGATCCAGCGCCACCTTCTGGTTTCTGCAGGTACACATGTGGTACACATAGACACATGCAGGCAAACATTCACATGACATAATACATTAAATAAAGACAGGATGAAAGAAAAGAAAAGACCTCTGAAGTTTAGTGCTGAAGTGTCCTAAGAAGACCGACACACAGAGAAATAATTTTACATAAACTTTGTTCAGGCTTTTAGTGTGTTGGGCATATGCAGTCTCTACAAGCCACCATGAGGATCTGTTGGCTCCACCCACCTTTCTGAAGGTGACTTTTTTCCTGTTTGCTCTTCTTTGCCTCTTTCTTCCAGATACTGGCCAGAACCTATGCCTTTCCTGGTACTTGGGGCTTCCTTACCCTTTCTCTAAAACTCCCCCTTGCCGTCACGCGTGGCTGCCTACTACCACAGGGCTGACCCACCACCCCACCCCCTCACCCCCACATCCCCACCCCATCTCAGCCTAATTCAAGTAGTGTGGCTTTTTATCTTCTCTGCTCCATTCTCCGGGCAACTGTCGAGATCCACAGCTTGTCTGCCCTGGGCTCTTTCTTTTAAACTCTAATAAAATTGTCCTTCAGCTTCTGTTGTAGTTTGTTCTGAAATTCTTTCATTGACAATACTAACCCCCCAAAAGGGGACCCTGCTTCTGGTAACATATTTGGTGGCTTGTTTGGGATATTACAGAAGCTCTTCTGCACACGACAGGTGACCACAACTCCAGGACCTTAGGCAAGCTCATTTATCTCTGTTTGTTGTCTTGGGGTCGATAAGCTGTTTGCCTGGTCCTCTGTCTTCTTGGGAGAAAAAAAGCCTTTTTTCTTCTCTCCCAGGCTTCCTAGTGTTGTGCCCAGATCGCGACCCCCAGAGAGACCACCGAAGACGACGAGGAATGCAAAAGCATTGTACCCGAATGCAAAAGCAAGGCTTTAATTGAGGATATTCAAGAGCAATACAAGCCTAGGCAGGGACTTCCTTCAACACATCCAACGCAGTGGAGGCTGGAGGAAGTGCCCAGCCTGAACTGTGCACAGCTTTTAAAGGCAAAAACCACAAGATTACAATAGCAGGGGCTTTCCATACATGTACATTTCTGATTGGCTCGTTTCTAGGGACTTTCTAGAAATCATTGTTTAATCTCACTTCTAAGGGGGTGGTTACCCACCACTGTTTCTCATTGGCTGCCCTCAGGTGGGGACATTCTGTGGTTAAACAATCACCATGGAGACCAGGATTGGGACATTCTATGGTCACACAGTCACCATCACATGATTAACCTGTTATTCTGTAAAAATGGAGGAACTTTAGTCTCACACTAGGGGATGTGGAGTGTACACCCAGTTCCCCTCTTTCTTGGGTTGTTTCCCCGAGTGTCTGTGGCCATGTGCTGGGAGCTAAACAATGCTGTTTAACTCCCTGTCTTCTCTTTCGGGCACAGGAGTCTCTCTCCACCACTACTCCCTCAGAGAATCTGGGAGACTTTGGATCAGGTGTGCGAGAAGGGAGGGAAACACACACACACAGGAGTTTGCTGCGGTTAGGCTCACGCGTCCCACCACAACTTCAGGTGGGCACCTGCTCTGTGTCGACTGCGTGGTCCCCAGGCAGATTTAAAACTGAGTAACGTTTTAAATCACGACTGGCTATTTTTAACAAGTTGGTTTCTAAGGGACGTGAATTTCTGCTAACATGGGGGGCAGGGGAGAGTCACAGATCTGTTCTCAGCCGCCATGCTCGGAGGAACAAAGGGGAACCAAGGTGCTATGCTCTTTCCCAGTTTCTCCACGCGGTCCCAAAGCAACAGCGCCACCTATGGGTCGTGGCACAGTTCCTTATTCCTTCACTTTTCCCCTCATGGGATGCTTTTCTAGCATTAAGATGCTAGTACAAAATCCAGATGACATCATTTGATGTGACCAATTACAGTGCTGGTAAGGCATTTTTCTTTCCTGGATGGGATTGTGGAAATAGGAGAGACTCTATCGTTGTGTGATAAGGTCAATGCATTCCCTTTATCAGACCAAAGAGGCCATCTCAGACCTCCACAGCGGGTTCTTTGGATTTTGACACACTATTTTGCATTATGTGTTTGCTGGGTTCTGGGAGGACTTAAGAGTTTTCCCAGCCATGTGCCTCCAACACTGGCCAGCTACCAGGGGGAGGTGACATTTTTAAGACCTGGAAAGCTCACATGAATTTGCAGCAGGCTGGGAACCAGTCTTGGGAAAGCTCCGATCTCAACTGGAATGGAACCCAAAGAACAGATCGTCAGGTGCTAGACGAACCGCTACAGCCACTGCAGGATCAGCCTGCTCAAGCTGGAAGCGGGAGGCATAAGCTCTTCAGGGTTAACGCCTGCTCTGCCTGCCAGGCCCCTCCAGGCCTGTTTCTGAGATAGAAAGTTCCTCCTCTCTGGACACTCTTTCATTCCACATTTCTCTGCTTTTGCTTCTGCCCTATCGTGCTCTGGTGCTCTGGCTTCCGTTTCCACTCTCCCGTTGCATCACGATAGACATGCGAAAGAGAAAAGAGCGGGCCGATGCCATCTCTTTCCGAGTTCTTGTAGATGCTTCCTCGTTTTCGGCATTTGGTATTTTGTAAATGACAGGGACTTTGATTCAGTTCCCATGTGGTAAATTACAATGTGGCTGTCCTAATCCAGGTAGCCTTATTAATAGCCATCTGCCCGTGGAAAATTCCTCCCAGAGTGCTTATCGTTCTAGCTTCCAGTCTAGATTGAGAAACGTGACATGGACTGACAGGTTATACATTTAAGAGAAAGGGGTCAAAGGGAATGTTTAAGAGGAATATTGGAGAGTCAACCTCCAGGGGAGCTGAGACCCTCCCTGGCTTATATACCCACTAGAGGTCGGCTGACTTCCCTGACGCAAGCGTCAACATCTTCTCTAGGGGTTTTGGGTTTTTTTTTCTTTTTTCTTTTCTTTTCTTTTTTTTTTTTTGGTTTCTTTCTTTTTTTTTTTTTTTTTTGTGGCCCATTAAAACAAAGTTTGATAAGAAAAGGAGGAGAAGGAGAAGAAGAAAAGAACATTGAGCTGGGGACATGGAATATAGAGGAGGTGACATCTTCTCATGTGTTAGCAATCAGGCATCTGTACTGACCTGTCCTTAGGGTCCTGACAGGATATATCCTCAGCTGAAGCCACTAAGAACACACCCTACGTGCATTTGCTAGGCTCCCTTATAAAAGGCGGGTCTTGCCCACCTCCCATCTCTTTCTCTTCCGCGGCTCTTGTCCCCAGGGACCAGTCTCTGCCCCCTTTTCTATCCCCCTTCTCTCTCCTCTTCCAATAAACCTCCCATGTGAGCCCTGTTGTATGGCGTGACTCCTTCCCGGCGTTTTTAAATTATAACACCCTGTCTACTGACTGTCCTGAAGCCTGAAGACTGTCCTGAAGCCTGGCTCACTGCCAACACTGAGCTTCCGGTTGAGCAACTGAATGAATGCATGAGGGTGTCCACGCTTTCAGGGACTGAAGGACGTCTTCCTCCCCACCAGTGTGCCTGTGCAGGGAACCACCACACATCCTTCAGGCTTTTCTCTCAGGACTAGAGAGGAAAGTTGCTTCAGGGCTGTCCTGCCAACAAGGGCTTGAGTTTTGTCTTTGGGGCAAGGGCTGGGGAGGTGCAACCTGCCTCCCACAGGTTCTCTGCCTGCTTCCCACTTTCATGAACTCTTCAACGCCTTCCTCTTTTCCTCATCATTTTCAGCTTAAGCCCGAGCGGATGTTTCTTGTTCTCCCATGATTTTTGGAAGTGGGTTCCTCGTCTCATTTCCTCAGCTTTAGCTTTCAGGAATGTGAATGTGAAGGCAACACAGACTCCATCTTAGACCACCTGCTGTACTCAGTTCCAGGAAGGACCTCAGGAATGTGCCATGACAACTCAAACAGATACAGAGCAGTATCCTCCTGCAGACATTCTGTCTGTGGTTTATAGCCCTTGATATCTAGATAATCCTACTGAGCAGTCCAGATAATCCTGTTCATCGAGTTGTGGTTCCCCATCAAAAGTCTAACCCAATGGTTTCAAATGTGGTTTTGCACCCAAAGTCTAGATCAACAGTTTCAAAAAATCACCTTGCCCCATATCCCTTCCACCCAATCTCAAGCATGTAATTCCCGGCTTGTGGTTTTTCCCTATAAAAACTCTCTACACCTGGGCTCGTGGCCACTGCCACATTTCCTTCCATCTGCCGTGCGGTGGCCCAGGTTGAACCTGACAATAAAAGGACCCTTATGTGCTTGCATCGGAAACCGGCTCCTTGGTGGTCTCTGGGGGTTTCACGAAACGGGTACAACATGAACACCATGTTTAATTAGCATGTCCACTTTTTGAATATCAGAACTCTTCCTATCTTTTCTGTTTTCTGAAGGTCTACAATATTTTTCTTGTTAGTGACCTGTAAAGGTTTTTGTTTGTTTGTTTGTTTGTTTTTTTATAGCTCAAGGACTGAGACTTGGAGAGAGTTATTTCAGCTTTGACATTATGGAGCAGAACTGGTACTGGACTGTTTAAAGAAGACAGTAGCAAATGAGCAGCCAGAGCAAGGCTCCCAATGTAAGAGGTTTTATTCAGGCTCGGCACTCAATTAGAGGTACCTACAACAGACTACAGACAGAACCAATTAGGAAGGGCTCAATAAAAGTGTTCAGAATACAGTAACACAGAGAGGGCTCAGTCTTCCAGATCTCAGACAAGCTACCAACCCGGTCTTAATTTCAGCCTTCATGTTGTGTGGCAGAATTCTCAGTTCACAAGGAAGAATCAATTTAAAACAAGGTCGCAGGTGTGGGGCCTAACTCCACGGACTCCCCCCAAAAACCCTGAGGACATTCTGACGGTTGCTTGTCAAGCTAGTGCTGTTACATAGGCAGAGCGTATCAAAAGACCGAGAACAATTTGTGGCGGTGGGGGTGGGGGGAGCAGGATACAGAATGGTCAGAAAAAAAAAAAAATCCCTAAGCTCAAACAGTAGGTTGGGGGAGGGGGAGCTGGTTCTCATCCACAGGGCAGGCACTGGATGGAAGGAAGGCAAGCCTTACCTCAGCAGAGAGGCTTGCTCCACAGGGTCCAGAGGCTGGGATCTGTGAAGCCCTAGAGGAACCGTGGCTTGCTTAAAGTTAGCTGCCACTAGGATGCGTGTCCTAGGGCTCCTCAGCCATGGGTCTTCAGCCCCTTGCGTTGTGGGTGGCTGGAATCTGCCAGGGCAGGGCTGCTCCTGGTGGCGGTGTAGCAGCGAAGGCGAGGGTGGCAGTGTCCTAGGCCTCTAGTGGAGAGCCTTCTCTGGGAAAGTGGATGTCAGCATGACGGGGGAGGTGGGGGTGGGGGTGGGGTTTTGTTGTGCTGGGACCTATGCTGGCCTGGAAACCGGGGGATGATCTCACATATACACACTATTCTTGAAAGAGGTTTCCAAGTGTCATGTAGGTTCAGGGTGCCTCCCAATCCCCCACCCTGGGCACAGGGAAGGTACTGGGGTTAGACTCTGGGGACCTGGTGCCATGGGAAGAGCCATCCGAATCTGAGGACATCATCTCCCGGAGAAATGATCTCTTGGTGGGCTTCTTTTTCTTTTTTCTAAGGGTCTCTTGCCTCGACTGTTTCAAATTTCCAAAGTCTTCTTCAGTCACTGTCCAGAGTGGGCAAGATTTACTTGTCTCTGCTTCTCCCCTAGAGAGAGAGAGACAGAGGAGAGCTTGAGGCTGATTTCAGGCACACCCTGGACTTGACAGCTACGGTGTGTGTGTGCAGAGATCTCCCGCTCATCTCAGCAGAAGTATCTAAGCTTTGTCCACTGCCCTAGGTGTTGGACACTAGGCTTAAATTCCATTCAGTTCATGTCCATATGTAGGAGCCCCACCCAGAAGAGAAAACGTAACCATGTGGACCCAGTCCCTACCCAGACAGTCAAGACACAGCTAACTCAAGCTCAGATGCCCCAGCACATGCTTCAGCACTGACCCACTGTCCACTACAGATGCGCCAGCCCAGCTCTATCACAGAGGAGGTTTCTCAAATCGTGTGGATCAAGGTGCATCATCAGAAACTCCCAAATGCCAACAGTGATGTGACTTTTCCTTATATTTAATAGAAAAAGCACAGGTCTGCCTATGGGATGTCATAGATAGAGGCTTATTTAGAAGATGGACCCGACAAGGCTGAGTTATCAAGTAGTGGCTTTTCTACAGAGACAGCATCTTGGGAATGCCATGACGTCATTTTAGCCCACTCACCGTGGCCCACTGATTGGTCAATTTCTCTTTTTCCAGAACCTCCGGGCTGTGTGAAGAGCACTGAACACCTGGGTTTAAACCTCACTTTTGTTTCACACTTCTGCATCCATTCTCTTGACCACCCCTGCCTCCACGCAGAACATTTTTGTTTTGGTTTTACCCTAAGTAACTCTGGATCGTTACTGTTTCCAGTTCTTCTGGGAGATGTGAGAGAAAAAGATGAGCTGGGAAAAGGCTCTTAGTTATTTTCAAACAGAAGACCCCATTATTCAAATTACTCTGTACTGGATCAAGATTGTATATCACGGGTGATTATTTTCAAAGACTGGCACAAGAATCAGAAGGGAATTCCCAAGAGAAACTTAAAAAAAAATTGGCTCAAGCAGTAAGGGTAACACTTCCTGAATCCCCCACACAAACTATCTTTTTTTTTATTTTGTTTTGTTTTGTTTTTTTGGTTTTTGTTTTGTTTTGTTTTTTTCGAGACAGGGTTTCTCTGTGTGGTTTTGGTGCCTGTCCTAGCTCTCACTCTGTAGACCAGGCTGGCCTCGAACTCACAGAGATTCACCTGGCTCTGACTCCCGAGTGCTGGGATTAAAGGCGTGCGCCACCACTGCCCCGTCCCACACAACTGGCTTATGCGGAGGTCCGAGCTTGTGTAGATGTCAAGTCTGTGGGAGAACACGTGCCTGGAGACATGGAGGCCACACCTCAAGGTCATACCAAGGACACCTGCCCTGTGAAATCTGAGCTCTTATCAACCTCACTTCCACTGGGCCTCACACTGCTGCCTTCCTTGAAGCTACGTTGGTTCTATTCGGTTTTTCTCCACTAGCCACCCATTAGCATCGATTGGCTCTGGAGCATACAGCTTCTTAAGAAAATGAGCAGCAAGGAGGTAGCAGGGGTTTTCCAGAGGCGCTAAAAGCACAAGCAGAGAGAGACCTATCTACCTGCTGGCAGGAGCTGAGGGAGGGGGAGGAGAGGGGCCAAGAAGCAATACATGAATAACTTTTGCAGGGTCTGGTCATGTGAATGAGTTATAGGCCAGCTCCTAATGGAATTTTAGGCAGGCAATGATGAAATGGCAGGGTTACTGTTATGGAAAGAGGTAACACACAGTAAGTTAGTAAGTGGGAGAAGAGTTACAAAAGAGAATACACATGTTTTCATTTTTGCTATGAGGGTTGTAAATGAGCAAAGAAGACTAGACACTGGTGTGGGATGTCTTCCTGTAGGCTGTAAATATGTGTGGCTCCCATTGGTTAATAATTAAAGCTGCTTTGGCCTATGGCAAGGCAGGATAAGAGCCAGGTAGGAAATCCAAGCAGAGGGACAGGGAGAAGAAGGGTGGAGTCAGGGGCAGACGCCATCCAGCTGCCCAAGGAGCAAGAGGCCAGCAGACTGCTAATGCCACAGCCACGTGGCCATACATAGATTAATAAAAATGGGTTAATTTAAGTTGTAAGAGCTAGTTAGTAATAAGCCTGAGCCATTGACCAAACATTATAATTAATATAAGCTTCTGAGTGATTATTTTATAAGTGGCTGCAGGATGCAGAAAAGCCTCCAGCCGTAAGACACCTTGAAGTAAACTAGAAAAAGTTGCCTCTGGGAAATGGATTACAATAGAATCGATATGTCCCCCACCTTTTTACATTTAAAAAATTGCATGTATTTATGTATGTATTTATTTATTTATTCACTTTTATGTGTATGGATGTTTTGCCTGCATGTATGTCTGTGTACCACACATGTGCCTGGTGACTGTGGAGGCCAGAGGAGGGGATCAGAGCCCCTGGGACTAGAGATATGGATAATTGTGAGCCACCATGTGGGTCCTGGGAATGGAACCCAGATCCACTGAAAGAGCAGCTAGTGCTCTTAACTTCTGAGTCATCTCTCCGACCCCACGTTTCCCACATTTAAAATACGTTTTGCAGCTGTTATACATGATAAGGAAAAACAATAGAGCTTTTGGCTTTGAAGAAAAATATGAATCAACACAGCAGATGAAAAAAATCTAGAGGAATGCATACCAAAATACTGTGCTTATTTTTGACATGTTAGGCTGTGGATTTCAAAAGGTTTTCCAGTTGCCTTTAATTTATAAGTACTATTAATTACGTATTACTTTTGGAACAAGAATAAAACAAGACAAGTTGTCATGATTAGGAAAAAAAGGTTTGATCAGGAGAAAACTTTTTTAATTCATTTATTTTTATTTTTTGAGTGTTTTGCCTGCATGTATTTAAGTGCGCTCTGTGTGTGTGCACTGCCCAAGGAGGCCAGAAGATCATCGGGCTGGAGACTGGCTTGCCTCAGTCTACAAGGGTGCATCCTCCACATGGGGCTGATGTGCAAGCTCCTACCCCTGGCCTCCCCCTACACCTTACTCTGCTTCTTGGCCGCAACCACTATGGAGATGGGAAGGGCTGTCATGACCTCATGGACATAAGCCATAACCATGATTGGACGTGACCCATTCAATGACTTTCTTTTGTTCAGTTTCACACTAAAGAAGCATTAAACTAGGTGATGGATTAATTATTTTAGAGGTTATAGATTTGGTTGAATACAAGGTTAAACGTCCCTTATCCAAAATACTTGGAACCAGAAGTGTTCCAGATTTTGGATTATTTGTGTATAAGTAATGAGACGCCTTGCAGAGGGAACCCAAGTCTGAACAATGAAGTTCAGTCTGTTTCTCACACACCTTTGTGCATCCTGTGTAAGCTAATGTATACTGTGTCTTTGGTGGCTCTGAATTGTGACTGTAGCCTAACACCTGAGTTAGGTGTGAAGCTTTCTGCTCGTGACATCAGGTTTGTTTGAAAAAAGGCTTGAATTTCTGAGTGTGGTAGTTTGAATGAAATGGCCCTATAGGCTCATAGGGACTAGCACTATGAGGTGTGACTTGTTGGAGTAGGTGTGGTGTTATTGGAGGAAGTGAGTCACAAAGGGGCTTTGAGGTCTAAAATGCTCCAGCCAGATCTACTGTAACATTTACTTCCTGCTGCCTGTTGATCCAGGTGTAGAACTCTCAGCTACCTCTCCAGCACTGTGTCTTCCCGCCATGATGATCATGGACTAGATGTCTGAACTGTAAGCCACTTTCAATGGAATGTTTTCCTTCGTAAGAATTTTCTTGGTCATGGTGTCTCTTCAGAGCAATAAAACCCCAACTAAGTGAGCATGCTGGATTTTGGATTTTTGGATTAGGGATGCCCAAACTGCAATCCACTAAACAGGATCAAAGCGTGCACAGTGGGGTAGAATGAGAAGCCAGGCACCGTGTCTTAACTGGCTCTTTAGAAGGTTCTGGTCCCACTTCCTAAGAGAAAGTGCTGAGAAGTCATGATCAAGATTTGCCAATATCCTGGTTCTCTTGCTGGCCCCCAGAGGCCTCTTTTCTACATTGTTCCAAGTGTCTCTTTTGCTCTGGAATAGGCACCAGACAGATGTCTCAGGGAGAATAAGAAGGCCTCTGAATTGACAGCTTAAGGAGCTGAAGATTGAGAGGGTCTCAGAGTCTCTGTGACTCTTGAGGACACCTTAGCGTTCTCTTGAAAGTAGGAAATGGCCTCTGTCCTATGGACGAACATAGGACATGCACAGGCAGAGGTTTTGGCTGTACTGCTCATTTTTCAAGGCTTGGCTCCAGGATAGAAAATGGGGCTCTCGTCTGCAGGGATGAAGAAATGATGAGATGTCCTAACTCACTAATTTCAAATGCCCAGCTCCCTCCCAGGGAAGGAAGCATTGTCCGGAGAGATTACATCAGAGTGAGGGAAGTGACATGTCCCTGCGATGTCAGAAGTGGCGCTGGCCCTTGATGTTTCAGTCAATGAGTTCATTACCCTGCTGCTGAGAAGGCAGTGTGAGGCTGTTCCGCACCATCCAGGAAGGAGGCTAAGTCACTTGGGAATCGCCCCTCCCACGGAAACATGTGCCTGAATCCATGGGAAGTCACCAGGCTGCTCCAAGGAGAGACAGTGGGAGGCTAATGTGTGCAGCAGGGAATAGTGAGCTGACCACAGACTCAAACAAACCACCTCCAAGGCCTGGGAAAGTCTTCTCTTGGGCAGTCTCACACAGGACAATGTCCCTAGGACCACACAGTGGCAATCAAGCAGGGAGGGAAGACGATCCCTTCCCCTTGGGTGCCTGATTTTTCCTTCCCATAAGATGGATTTTTCTGGAGCCCAAAGAAAAGGACTAGTCCTATGTGGCTTTCCTACAATCCCACGTTTGGAATGTTGTCACTACTGTTGCTATTATTGTTATTCCAATTAAGAAATCACACACCCTCTCAAGAGAACATCTTTCTAGAGGACTGACTTGCCCTGGCCTTGCTCTGTCAAGTGGGCAGGTAGACTCCAGCTCTGCTAGAGAGGTTTGCTACGGGGCACCAGGTATGTGGATTCTGCTCAGACCTGCCAGACACCCCAGTCTGGAGATAGCTTTGTGACACCACCTGGCTGAGGTGATTTCCCTCCAGGGAGAAAACTAGACGCCAGAACATCAAACCCACCAGGCTCTGCCTTCCCCTGCAGCAAACAGAGACCACAGCCCTCTGACAGGAAGGAACAGGACCCCCAAAGAGGTAGCCAGGGAAATTCCTGCCTGGGTGAGGGCAGAGGATGCCGGATAGGGGGTTGTGGTGGTGGGGAATTCCTACTGTTCTGCTTGCTTCTTAAGAGCTCCTGGGATCACGTGAGAGAAATGACATGTTTTCTTGAGATGAATGTTCTAGACTAGTGAGAGACTATTTTCACTCGGAAAGAGCATGTATGAAGCCATAGAACATAGAGGGAAGCTTGGGGACACAGAGAGGAAGAGGGAAGGAAGAGAAGGTGGGTCCCCTCAGAAGACACGCTCTTAGTGGGTGGCACACGAGGAAAGAAGCAGCCAGGACCCATGTCACACGTCTCCTGAGGCAAACAACGGGATGCTGGCATGGTCCCTTGAGAGCTGGACTTTTGTTAACATGGTGACGTATTTTGCAAGCCAGTCTCCAAGAGTCCCTTAGCTGTCAAGCACGGGTTGAAAATGGAATACTGCACAAACTCTAGTCAGTTAGGTTTGATCTTAGTGTTCCTCTGAATAGTCTCCTTCCTATCTTTCACTGGTTATACCCTCCATCAAGGACTAGGAGAAGGATCTTTCTGCAGGAAATGCTCTGTTAGTCACAGCTGGAGGCCTCAAGAAGGAAGAGAAGAGGATGAGATGACAGAGGCCAGCATGTTGTACATGTTGGTCTACCCAGGTGTCTGGAGGTGAAGGGCCCTGGCTGATCACCCCTGAATTTGATAGGCACAACTGAGTCAATACCAGAAACTAATGTTTCGTTGAAACTAATGTGCCTGTGGTACATTTCTTGAATGACACAGGGACATGAACATGAGGAATCAGGATTCTCAATAACGGCCTCCTTGGTATAAAGGCCCGAGGATTTATTACAGACATCCAAAAGGAGATGGTACATGAGGTAAGTGTGAATTAGGTACCAGTGGAAGACCTAAAAGAAGGGAGAGACTAGAAAACAGCTACATTCCACTCTTGTATTCAGCCCTGGTTATAGAAGCGGAGACCGATTCTGCTCTGGAATTAGCAGATTGAAGATGGTTCCTGTTTAGGAAAAGGAAACATAGTTTGTTGCTCCTAGGAAAGCATTGAGAGTGAGACAAAAAAATAAATAAAAAAAGGGAATTAGAGAGTCAATGAATATATCTCCTGTGTGAGCCCTAGAGGAGAGAGTAGATAATTAGTAACTAAGAAATTTAAATGAGGCCTAGGGAATGTGCAAAACGAAAGCTTTTCCTTCATACAGAAAGAAATGAATTTTAATTAAAAAATGATTAATGATAATGTTGCGTTCAGTGAAAATAGTCAATACCTAGACTAATAGTCATATTCTTTTATCATGGACTAGAATTTAAAGATATTTATCTCCAAAGGTTCATATGCTATAGGGTTGGTCTTCAGTGTGGCCATGTGGAGAGGTGATGGGTCCTTTAAAAGGTGAGACCCAGTAGGAGACAATTAGGTCACTGGGGACTGGCCCCTTTAAGAGATTATTGGGTTTTCCTGGGGTGAGCAAGTTGACAGACAAGAGCAAGTCTAGCCCCTCTAGTTTCCTCATCTTACCATGTTTCGACCCTTTACTCATAGGATACTATCCGCTATGTTCTGATAGGACCAGAAAGGCCCTCACCAGAGGCCAAATGGATGGACTTACTTGACCTTGGACTTTCAACCTTCAAAATTGAACTATAAACATCTTTCTTCCTTTGAAAAGTTCTTAGCCTCAGGCATTTTGTTATAGCAACAGAAAGTGGACTGAGACAGGCTAGCACAAGGGAAATTTTCCAGAATGAAAATCTACACAAGATGTGACATGGTCACCTTAGTACATGCAAGAAGCTAGCTAGGTACCAGGACACTTCATGGTACTGGGAATGTTTGAGTCCAATCTTGGATTTCCCAGGCGGCTAAGGAATAGTGTTCTAAGAAAGTAACACCCAGTTTATGCAAAGCACGGAGACCTAAGAAAGCGTGGTGTTGGGAAGTAGTTAGTATGCCCTGGAGGGTTGGTTAGAAGTGACTGGGAACAAGAGAGACTAGGGAGACAGGCAACACCACACTAATTAGAGGTTAAAATAGGATAAGAGGGACCCAGATGGGGGTGAGATCTGAGGGTTTTTAAGTAAGGGAGATGATACAAGAACCTTTTGCACTCTAACAAAATCAATCAGTTGAGCCCCCCCAGGGAATGAACATGCCTGGGTTTGGGGGCAGGCCTAGATGAGAGCAACTTGGAGCTTCTGCCCAAAGCACTGAGCTACAACAGAGCTAAAAAAAAAACGATCTCCAAGCCTGGATCACAACGACTTGAAGGCAGATGGGCTGTGGTGAATGACTGGCAGATGTCCACTTGGACAATTCCATGGAAGGAAGAGGAGCTGAGACAAGGAGTCCCGGGTTGGGAACAGGTGTGGGGACTGAGTTCAGTCTGCGTAGATTGAATTGGAACTCCTGTAGTGTCAGGTGGAAATAGTCAGTGGGAAGCTGGGGGAGTGGCTTGTTGTGAAAAGACTTGAGTTCAAACTCCCGACCACTACGTAAAAGTTGGGCATAGGTACATGTGCCTGCAACCCTAGTGTTGAGGAGTGGAGACTGGGGATCCTGGGAGCTCACTGGTCAGCCAGTGAGAGATTCTGCCTGTAAAATTAAGTGGAAAGTGACAGAGGAAGAGGCCCAACACCCTCTTGTGGTCTCCATGTGCACATGCATGGGCACCTACACACACACACACACACACACACACACACACACACACACACACACACACAGTTCAGTGGGCATTTGGGAGTAATGCCAATCCTATCACGCAGAATACCTACACTGTGCCAAGCATAGCCATCAACAATCTCATCTGAGACCTACAGCCCCTAGTGGGGCAGGTTATGGATCTATGACTCAGTTTCCAAAATGTCCTTTCCATTGTAGCTATCTACTGCAGTTGCCCATTACATACACCCACACAGCTTTCATAAGGACTCACTGTAGGTCCATTCTCGGGGGTTGTAACTCTGATGCAGAGCCACAGACTGGGTTAGAGAAAGAGACACAGGGTCCTTGGTGTAAGTGGCATCATGGAAGCAATGGTGTTCATACAAATAAGGCAGAGAGAAGACCCAGGGAGCCATGGCAGGCTTGAGAAGGCAGGTTCAGAAGCCTGGTGCCATCCCGAGAGCAAGCAGGGTCAGGGTGGGCAAAGCCTGCGGGCTGGGGCATGTGTGAGGTCCCAGTTGGGCTCTGTGGAATCCCTTCCTGGTAAGGGGGCTAGGGAAAACTGATGTCCACATTTAGGGAGGGAACTGAATGGAGACAAGGTTATCCAAGTCTGCAGAAGAGACTGGTGAGAAGTGAAGTGTGAGTTAGATCACACTACAGTTACGGGGGAGGGGGCAGGGACAGATAGGGAGGGAGGGAGGGAGGGAGGAAATATGCACAGTCACATATATACACACTCTGTGGGTAAATTCAAGGGAAACTTGTTTTTTCCTCTGAGGTGAAGGTTTCACGGGGGAAGCTAAGGAGAGAGTATTGTAGGATGCAGTGGTCACCCACAGAGTAAGGACCCAGGGCATGGAGGAATGGGCCTCCAGAACTGGCAGACGTAGATCAGTTTTTAATAGGATGAGAGACACTGATATTTTTTGACATCACAGAGAAAGGTTAGGAGTCCCACATGCCCCAAACTGGGGAATACAAAGCATTTCATTTCCGTAATGAAGATGAATGAAGGCCAAAGGCTATGCACAGAATAAAAGGTTCACACCCCGAACAACATGTTCACTCTGTAGAACCGGAAGGTGTTTCCTGGATCCCCTCATCACAACCCTTGCTCAAACCTCACATTTGCTTCTTCTTTATGTGCCTTTAACTCCAAGGTCATGGTGCTGTGACGTCAGCCTTGCCCTTGCTGGCACCACGGACTTGAGTTCTGTCTGCTCTTCCACCTCAAGTCTTTCTTATTGACCCTGGGCCAGTCTGCCTGCACATCTCTCAGTAACTTCACTGTGTAGACCCTGGGAATCCCAAATCACCCACCAACACGCTCATCTGGTAAGCCACTTCAGTACCTCACTTCCACCTCCCTATATGGAAGGGACAGTTAGGGGACAGCTCCCAAGTGAAGTTTAATTAGAAGGTCTTGAATGGCATAATCACTCCTTTTTCATGGCAGGATTGAATGTTTTTATGAAGGGCCAGTGAAAATAATGTTGACTCTGAGATTAGAACCAGATGGAATGACCAACGGCATTCAGTGGTAGGAGGTTGACTGACTAATGATCGCAGAACTGAGCCTTCCATCTCTCCTCCCCTCCCCTACTACTCAGAAGGTGTAGATCTCAGCGAGGGAATAAAGATGCAAAGATATGAGTTGATATTTAAGAGGTAGAGGTTGGGTGTACTCACACAGCTCGGTCCTTCTCAACTGGGGATGCTTTTATCTGGGAGCAAGAGAGAGCATACTTGTTTTGGCTGATCTTTATAAGTGCACTCCGAGGGCAAAACTCCTGTAATCACACCAAAAGAGGTCACGTCATTTGAACCCAGAAAGTCCCCAATTCATGAACAATTTTATTCCAGCTCAAGCTGCTATCGTTAGCTACTAGTCATTACCCCCGTTTGGGGTGCCACTCAAGAGAGTGGGTTAAGTTCACTTTGACTTATAAATCTTTGCTGAATAAAAGTCATTGCTAATTCCTCTGTCATTCATCTAAATTCTAGATCAACTGCAAGGCCTGCTCAGGTTAGTCACACATGTACACACACACACACACTTCTATCTTGGTTTCAGCCTCAACCATCTCTTTTTTAGATAGCTGTGACCATGACCCTGTCGCTGAAAGTCCTGCTTTCCCTTGTGAGGTTTCCCAGAATCTTTATGAGAATCTTCAATGTCCTTTCCCCTGACTATAGCATTCTGGCCCCCAGGGACTTCCTGCCCTGAGGGTCAACAACAAAGTCACTCCCTGGAATTTGAGGCCTTTCTTGAGGGACCTCAGACCATCTGCTATGTACCCTCCCCCTGTCCCCGAGGCATGCCTCAGGACCACCATTTCACACGTCCCTGGCTTGTTTCTTCCCATGCAGACATTCTCAAGCAGCACTACACACTGGGAATGCTCATCCAACAGACAGACCATGAGGTAGCAGGGGAGGACAAGACTGAGAAAGGCCCAGGAGGTGCCTGTGTCTAAGGGCTTGCATAGGAGCACAGGCAGGAACAAGAAGTCACACACACAGCGTGGTACTGAGACTGGGGAGGTGTCTCAGGGGATAAAGAGATTGTTGTGCAAACAGGAGTGGAGTCTGGACCCCTAGAACCCACGTAAACGTTGCGGGCGTACGCACGGCAGCCCATCTGTGATCCCAGACAGGATCCCTGGCTAGCTAGACCAGCTGAATGTGTGCGCTCCAGATTTAGCCCTGGCTTCCACACACACCTGACCATGCATACAGACACGTACATACATACATACATACATACATACATACATACAGAGAGAGAGAGAGAGAGAGAGAGTGAGCTCAGAGTGAGCCTGTCCAGCTGTCAACTGCAGTGTGACAAGGCAAGACAAATGATCCTCCCATAGAAGCAAGGAGACCACAGTGCTCTCAGCACGAGTAGAGTCCAAACCACAAGGGATGCCTGAGTAGGAGGAGCAGACAGCTGCGTCCCCTCAGGTCTCAGCCATCCTCAGCCCAGGGGGAAAGCCCTTTTCTGGGTGGACACTTACTCGGCGGTTGTTACACTTCAACACTGTATAGAATTTTTCTGAAGGCACACTCTGATCTGGAAGGGCTATGACGATGGCGGGGACATAGAAGTCAAATCCTTTGTTTGTCACGATTTTGGCAAACACATAATCCCCAACCTGTAGAAGAAAGCACAGTCCACAGCAAATAATTTGCTTGCAGAGCTCACACATAATTTAATATAAGCTTGTTTCACAATAATCCCTGATGACTGGTAGGTACTGGTGATAAAATTCTGATATACAGCTTTGAAAAAAAATCAGACAAGAAAGGGTTCCAGAATTCTCTGAGTTTATTGGGCCACACCTGCAATTTTGTGAGCACTTTGGAAAACCCAGTTTTGGTAGGAGTTTGGCAACTGAGAGTCAGCAAGATGGTTAGGGTTCTGAAACTTCCAGAGATCAGTAGAAATAAAGACTGGGGCTGAAGGAGTGTCCAGGGTGTTTGATATAAAGAGATGGGGACCGTGTCCCCAGTGTTAGAAGGGCTGTCCCCCAGACACAGGAAAAGAATGTCAGTCCCAGCACAGACATGGAATCCATGGTGAGGGTTACACAGAGGTATAGATGATTTTGCAAAAGGACACAGTGAGGCTGCCGTGTACCTGTCAGTCACCAGGAGGAAAGTGCGGGAGGTGTGCTGTGGGTCTGATCCAGGAAGAAGGAACAGACCAAGGATAACCCACACGGTCCCTCCCTGGCTTGCACCACGCAGGAAACAGCAGGACTGAGGCTTTGAAAGGCTTTCCTTTTGGGCCTTGCCCTCCCGTGTCTTGGTGTTAAGACAGTGGCAGGCAGATGAACTGGGCATGGTGTAGAGCCCGATTCATTTATAATCAGATGAGAACGTATTCATCTGTCTCATTCGTGGAAGGCACACTCGGAGTAACTGCATTATGACATCACAGGTTGGCAGCAGCTGACTACAAGGTCACAGAAATCACTAGTTCTGTCCTTGATACACATAACATAACGCAGCCTTCTGCAGTGAAAGCTCCAGGAACACTGGTAGCCCCACGGTTTCCTTCCCCCTCACGACAAGTGTCACAAGACATTAGATAAGCCACTAGACACGGTGGATGGCTACATTAAGAGGGAGTTGGCACATCAGTCACAAGCAGAGACATTGCCAAGTGATAGGGACTAGAAACTGGCTGCTGTTCTTCCTGCCCAGACAAGCTCCCTACAGGAGTCCAAGAGGGCCACATAGGGGCCTTTGCCATCCTCTGTAATCCAAAACCCTGTGGACAGTATAAAGCAGTGGTTCTCAACCTTCCTAATTCTGTGACTCTTTAATACAGTTCCTCATGCTGTGGTGACCACCAACCTTAAAATTATTTTCGTTGCTACTTCATAACTGTAATTTTGCTACTGTTATGAATCATAACATAAACGTGTTTTCCGATGGTCTTAGGTGACACTTATGAAAGGATAGTTTGCCCCCAAAGGGGTTCTGACCCACAGGTTGAGAACCAGTTGTATCAAGGGTCCCAGAAGGGATCAGAGAGTAGGTACCTGAAGTTGTGGGCAGGGCATGGCACCCCCAACGGGTGTGATGAAGGAGATGGGCACAATCGTGGTTTCTCCATACCTGAAGTCTACCAGCGCGTGAGTGGGGCTCACACATTTCTTCACAACCCCTGGAAGGATCAAAAGAAACAAAACACGATGACAGCAGCAGTTCTGCTCCACCCCATGGTCTGTGCTGAGTCAAAGCACAGGCCTGTTTAAATCAGCACACCCCTTTGATCCCTGCAGGGGGAAAGTCGGATATAGTCCGATGCCTTCTGGGGCTGAACACAAAGCGGAGGAATAAAATGTTCTGGTTTCAGAGGTGAAGGAGAGCCCACTCATTCAGCACCAGCAGTATCCCATCCTGCTGACTGTTCTAGGAACAGCTTCCTACTGGGCACCACCCCCATACACACACACACACACAACCAAATCTTATCTATTTATTCTAGTCCCGTGTCCTTCTAAAGAGACTGAGTGTAGGCACTGTTAAATTGTGAGAGTAAAGAGGAAATATAAATGCCCACCTCAATCACCTTTTCATTTGATATTAGATAAATGAAAAGATCACCAGGCTGAACATACCCCATGGCTTTCCTAAAAAAAAAATGGAAGGAAAAAAAAAAGCAGCCACAAGCAGTTTGTCTTTTCATTATACGTAAAGAGAACGTTACACATATTTTTCAATTTTTATAATTTTATTTATTTAGAAACAGGGTCTCATTTTGTAGCTCTGGCTGGCCTACAACTATCTATGTAGACCAGGCTAGCCTCTGCTTCTCAAGCATTGGGATTAAAGGCATGTGCCACCATGTCTGGCCAATTTTATATTCTTCACTTTTGCATATTGTTGTGCTGAGGACTGAACACAAGGACATGTACATTTAAGGTAAGCACCTGCAGTTAACCAAGTGTAGTGTGTGGCCCCAGACCATTGTCACAACAGTCTTACCAGCAGTCTAATCCTTTCAAATCCTGTGTGGAAAGACAGGGCAGCTGAGGTGCCGGCAAGCTGAGTGACTGCAGGCAAGCAGTTAATACAGGAGAGGGAATTCAGGTGAATAAAAGCTTGGTGTTAGCTGGCTAGAAACATTTAGAGGAGTATCCTGCCACCCTTCCTTGCTTATTTTTTCCCATCGTAACTTGTACTTACGACACAGGGCAGAAAACACTATGAATTCCCTGGTGAAAAACTCTTTTCTGTCATTGGAAGAATGACCCAGTTTCCATAAGTAATGATCTCATCATGTTTGAAATGAGTCTTCCTCCTTGCCTGTCAACATCTGGACAGGACAGGCCACACATCAGCTGGCCACTTCCAACCTGTAGGAAGTAGTCATTTTCCTCTTCGACTCATGGGATAGATATGGCTACATGGGAGTCCCTGTTATGATCCCGAGGCTAACAGTAACAGCCAGCCAGGCTGAGTGTGCACCAGTGTGGACATGTTTTCAGGCAATGGGCACCCAACTCAATACTGCAACGCTGCCTTTCTGCTGACTGATGGCATTTAAATCAGACCTTTTCATGAGGAAGGACTAGGAGGTTTAGACCAACAGTCACCAGAAAGAGCCACCAATAAATTGTCTATTAAAACCTATTTGGCCTTCATTAACCCCCACACACACATCCAGTTTGCTCATGTAGATCTCATCCATTTCTCTGTCATTGGGCGATCCCTGTGTCTTTCTTAGGGTCCTCTTTACTAGGTAGCCTCCCTGGAGTTGTGAGTAGCAGTCTGGTCATCCTTTGCTTTACATCTAGTATCCACCTATGAGTGAGTACATAACATGTTTGTCTTTCTGAGTCTGGGTTACCTCACTCAGGATGATTTTTTTCTAGATCCATCCATTTTCCTGCAAACCTCATGATGTCATTGTTTTTCTCTGCTGAGTAGTACTCCATTGTGTATATGTACCACATTTTATTTATCCATTCTTCAGTTGAAGGGTATCTAGGTTGTTTCCAGGTTCTGGCTATTACAAACAATGCTGCTATGAACATAGCTGAGCATGTGCCCTTGTGGTATGATTGAACATTCCTTGGGTATATGCCCAAGAGGGGTATAGCTGGGTTTTGGGGAAGATTGATGCCCAATTTTCTAAGAAAGTGCCATATTGATTTCCAAAGTGGCTGTACAAGTTTGCACTCCCATCAACAGTGGAGGAGAGTTCCCCTTGCTCCACATCCTCTCCAGCATAAGCTGTCTTCAGTGTTTTTGATCACAGCCATTCTGACAGGTGTAAGGTGGTATCTCAGAGTCGTTTTGATTTGCATTTCCCTGATAATTAGGGATGTTGAGCAATTCCTTAAATGTCTTTCAGCCATTTGAGCTTCCTCTGTTGAGAATTCTCTGTTTAGCTCTATAGCCCATTTCTTAATTGGACTGTTGGGCATTTTGATGTCTAATTTCTTGAGTTCTTTATATATTCTGGATATCAGCCCTCTGTCAGATGTGGGGTTGGTGAAGATCTTTTCCCATTCTGTAGGCTGTCGCTTTGTCTTATTGACCATGTCCTCTGCTCCACAAAAGCTTCTCAGTTTCAAGAGGTCTCATTTATTAACTGTTTCTCTCAGTGTCTGTGCTACTGGTGTTATATTTAGGAAGTGATCTCCTATGCCAATTCGTTTAAGACTACTTCCTACTTTCTCTTCTATCAGGTTCAGAGTAGCTAGATTTATATTGAGGTCTTTGATCCACTTGAACTTAAGTTTTGTGCATGGCAACAGATATGGATCTATTTGCAGCCTTCTACATGTTGAAGGGCAAGGGTCGGGGGAGAAAGAGCTTAGGGGAACGGGAGATCCCAGCTGGATCAGGAACAGAGTGGGAGAACAAGGAAAGAGATACCATGATAAGTGAAGACCCCAAGGGAATAATAAGAAGAAGCAAAGTGCTAGAGAGGTCCCCAGAAATCCACAAAGATACCTCCACAATAGACTACTGGAAATGGTCGAGAGAAAGCCTGAACTGACCTACTCTGGTGATCGGATGGCCGAACACCCTGTCATGATAGAACTCTCATCCAGTGACTGATGGAAGCAGATGCAGAGATCCACGGCCAAGCCCCAGATGGAGCTCCAGGAATCCAATCGGCGAGTGAGAGGAGGGATTATATGAGCAAGAGATATTGAGACCACGATTGGAAAAAGCACAGGGACAAATAGCCAAACTAGTGGAAACACATGAACTATGAACCAATAGCTGAGGAGCCCCCATGGAACTGGATCAGGCCCTCTGGATAAGTGAGACAGTTGATTAGCTTGAACTGTTTAGGAGGCCCCCAGGTAGTGGGACTGGGACCTGTCCTTAGTGCATGAGCTGGCTTTTTGGAACCTAGGGCCTATGCTGAGACACTTTGCTCAGCCTAGGTGAAGGGAGGAGGGGACTAGACCTGCCTCAACTGAATCTACCAGGCTGAGCTGAATCCCCAGGGGAGTCCTTGCCTTGGAGGAAGTGGGAATGGGGGGTGTATTGGGGGGAGGGAGGGGAATGGGTGGGAGGAGAGGGGACAGAGGAATCCATGGATGATATGTAAAATTAAATTGATTATAAAATTAAAAAAAAAACCTATTTGGCTTTTTTTTTTTCCTTTTTTTTTTTTTTTTTTTTGGTTTTTTCGAGACAGGGTTTCCCTGTGTAGCTTTGTGCCTTTCCTGGAACTCACTTTGGAGACCAGGCTGGCCTCGAACTCACAGAGATCCGCCTGGCTCTGCCTCCCGAGTGCTGGGATTAAAGGCGTGCGCCACCACCGCCCGGCCTTTTTTTTTTTTTTTAAGAGGAGAAATTACAAACTCATGCCAACCATATGGTCCAAGTTACCATCTTTAAGGAGGACAAATGGACATCATGTGCCTCTGGACAGGATAACACCTGAGTGACATCACCAAGGTTGTCTTCTGGGCAAGAATGTATGTATTGAGTCTAAGCTAAACAAAACCAAGTAAGGCCATCCTGTAATTACCCTTACTTTTAATTTTAACATCATGAAAGTTTACAGAAGAGGTTAAATAAAAATTCTAGATTAAGGAGCTTTGTGTCGTGGTGCACACCTTTAATCCCAGCACTTGGGAAGCAGAGGCAGGTGGATCTCTGTGAGTTTGAGGCCAGCCTGGGCTACACAGCAAGTTCTAAGCCACTCAGAACTACATAGTGAGACCCTATTTATAAAAAACAACAACCGGCCGGCCGGTGGTGGCGCACGCCTTTAATCCCAGCACTTGGGAGGCAGAGCCAGGCGGATCTCTGTGAGTTCGAGGCCAGCCTGGGCTACCAAGTGAGTTCCAGGAGAGGCGCAAAGCTACACAGAGAAACCCTGTCTCGAAAAACCAAAAAAAAAAAAAACAACAACCAAACAGTAAGGGTATATGTTAATCAAACGTAACACGTGACTCTCAATTAAATCTGCACTAAAGAAAAAGCACAAGGCATTGGCAGGTAAGTAACAAAGGCGGAACACCCATGAAGGTGCACAGTGACGTCAGCTTCCCTGAAGGTCATTTTTATTGTGGTTCCATCAGGAGAGTACCTGCATTTTTGAGAAAGAGAGTTGTGATGTGTGATGAGTGCTATCTAACCTCTAATCTTTTGATAGTTCAGAAAAGGTGTGTGTGTGTGTGTGTGTGTGTGTGTGTGTGTGTGTGTGTGTGTCTGTGTGCAGGAAGGGAAAGTGAAAATGTGAAAAAGTAAAAGACTCACAGATAATAAAATGGGACAAAATGTTAAAAATTAGTAAATCTGGATAAAGGGAATTTAAGAATTCTCCATTTTTCTTTTTTTTTTTTTTCTCCTCCATTTTTCTTGTAACTTTTCTACAAGTTTAATTTTTTTTTTTAAGGAAAACTGACTCTGCAGGAGAAGTTACAGTCTCCAATTTAAAAACGATCCCTTGACTTTGAAGGGTGGGAAAAGGCAGAGAATCTATGTCCGTCCAGCTCTCCCGTGCGCTGCGTTTGTATGTGTGAGTACAGGTGCACACATGCCTTGGTACACATGTAGAGGTCAGAGGACAACCTCGGGTGTCCGGTCTTCCCCTTATTCCTTGTTTGAGAACCTCTTGTTCACCACTGTGGATGCCAGGGTCGCGGCCCCACGGGCTTCTGGGAATTCTCCTCTATGTCTCTTGTCTCCCTGGGGGATGCTGGCATTCCAGACACGCGCTGTTGCGGCTGACTCAGCGTCAGCTCTGGGGACCTCAACTCTGGTCCTCGTGCTTCCATGGCAAGTGCTTTCCCCACGGACCAACTCCACAGACTGCCATTTAATTGGGTGGCGTGAATGTTTATTGACTAGCCGCGGATCAAAATTACGGGTTCTGTAACTAAATTCAAGTGTTCATTTCCTCCACGTCGACTTACTGGAATTCAATCACAGCTGCAAATTGAAATGTTTTGATTAGGCAGCTCACAGGCAGTTATGAGGATACTCGCTGGCTCCCATTACACATTTAAGGACAAATTGCCGTACGATCTCAGGTACTTTAGGTGGCTGTGCCGTTAACCCTGTCTCTCTGTCCCCCAGCCTGGGCCCACACAGCGGAGATCCTGGGGAAGTCTGAGCCAGTCTTCATTCCCCTGGAGTCCTGGCCAGCAATCAGACCCTAGTCCGTAAACCATCCATCTGGAATGCAGTCCTACATTCCGCTTACAAGGCAGATTCACACAGGATCCTCTCCAGGGCTTACATTCAGAAACTCAAGATTCTCACTAGAAGGGGCCTCCTGTGATCCCCTCTCCGCCCCAAGGGAGGGAAGCTTCCCACCCCCACCCAGCCCAGCACCCCAGTGCAGCACTTTGATGCTTCCACACAGGAGCTATTTCAAATGCCTGACTCTGCATTTCCTTTCATCCAATCAGCTCCAAGTTCGTTTGCCAGATAGCAAAGAAGACATCTTAGTCAATAGTTCTATTCACATGCTGACCGGAAGCCAAATGTTTTGCTGAAGTTATTTTTCACTACCTAGAGAGATTAGCTAATTAAATTTCATGAATGGCTCGGTTTCAGCACTTGAATTTTTTTGTTTCTTATAGGGGTCTCTAGGTTTTCTCCAGTCATCTGTTGCCTGTTGACCCTGCCCATGTTTCAGTGACAATCCTTATGTCGATGTCTCCAGACTCTGTATCCAGAGTCCCTTTCCAGACCCCAGACTCCAATGGCTTCTCTAATATTTTCTGTTGCGCATCTCACAGGCACCTGTAGTTCGTACCCTAAGCACATATCCACATCTTTCCATCCATGCCACTGAGTCATCTCTCCAGCCTTTCTCCCAACTTTAAATGTGACTTTCCAATGCCCTGAGAGCAAGGGCAAACTCCTTAAAAGTACCTGCTGGGAGTGACCCCATACTAACCTCCCTGAAAAGCTTTTTATGCTGCCTAGATTTTATCTCAACTTGACACAAGCTAGAGTTATCAGAGAGGAAGGAGCCTCAGTTGAGAAAATGCCTCCATAAGATGAGGCTGTAGGCAAGCTTGTAGGGCATTTTCCTAACTAGTGATTGATGTGGGAGGGTCCAGCCCATTGTGGGCGGGGCCACCTCTGAGCTGGTAGTCCTGGGTGCTATAAGAAAGCAGGGTGAACAAGCCAGGAAGAGCAAGCCAGTCAGCAACACTCCTCTGTGGCCTCTGCATCAGCTCCTGCCTGTGGGTCCCTGCCCTGTTTGAGTTTCTGTCCTGACTTCCTTAAATCATTAACAGTAAAGTAGAAGTGTAAGGCAAATCAACCCTTTCCTCCTCAACTTGCTTTTGGTCATGGTGTTTCACTGCAGCAATAGAAACCCTGACTAAGACAGCTTTATTGGTTCCCACTGTTCTCTTGTGTTCCTGGTCCCAGCCAGTGGTGCTTTTCTGTCTCCAGACACAGGATCTTTAGTCACCTCTAGCTCTTGCCAGATACTGTTCTCACTGTCTATGAAGCCCCCTTTACACTGTCATTCCCTGCTGAACGGACCGAGCTGGTTCCTTCAAAACCACATCCTGAGGGATGTCTTGGGAACACCTCTCAAATCAACTGTGCTAGTCTGTCCGCTTTTCCTGAAATTCGTCCCTTGCATCCCAGCCTTGAGCCTTCCTTCCAGATAATCTAACGATGGCATCTCTTCTTTTATTTTTCTTTTTATTTTTTTGAGACAGGGTTTCTCTGTGTAGTTTTGGTGCCTGCCGTGGATCTCACTCTGTAGACCAGGCTGGCCTCGAACTGACAGAGATCTGCCTGGCTCTGCCTCCCAAGTGCTGGGATTAAAGGTGTGTGCCACTGCCACCCGGTGGCATCTCTTCTTTTATGTCCGTATCAATGTCATATCCCTCAGGAGCCTTTTCTTAAGCACAGTGTTTAGAATTGCACTTCTCTGTGACACACTCAATTCTCTTTGTGGCTTGGTTTCCCCCTTACCGTACTATATCTAACGTGTTATGTGCTCTTACTGTTTATTTGGAGGCTCCCCTAATATCCCTTAGAAACAACTACCCTGAAGACAAGAACATTCATGTATTTGTTCATTGTATTACACAGGCACTTCCAGGGCTGGTGAGATGGCTTGGGAGATGAAGGTGCTTGTGGCCAAGACTGATGACCAGAGTTTGATCCCCGGAACCCATATGGTAGACGCAGAAAACTATTCTTGCAAGTTGTCCTCTGGGCCCCTACCGCCTCCCCCCAGACACATGCCATGGCACCTGTGCCCACCCCTCCCCTCACAAATAAATAGATGTAGACTGGTGTGTTCAGAATATTACACACATATGCAGCATAGCAGGTTATAACAGAAATGTGTTCACTGTACAAATGAGAGATGAAAAGAAATACCATTTTCTACTATTCTTTTGCCTCATCTATGGGGAGAAGGAACTCTTTTTTTATTTGAGAAGCAGAATATCTTTAGTCAAGCTCATGAAACATCAGTGCTCTATGGAAAGCTCGGGTGGAAACCTCTGCTCCCCAGTAACCAGGCCGCTTAGCGATGTCTGAAAAATGTACCTGGAAAATAGAAGCCGTTCTCCTCACATCTGGCGATGACCTTCTGACCTCTCAGGGGATCAACTCTCCTTGATCTGACCCTCTTTGTTGGACACCCTTGTAATTTCTGCTCCTGAAAAAGACCAACAGGAAGAAGTGATGAGCAAAAGGTAATGCAGACAGTCAAATCATGAAGAGAAAGAGACTTACAGTCGTCACATGTGTGCCACATACTCATCCGGGACACCTCTGTCCTATATTAACTCAAGAACGTCCTTTTCATAAGGCTAACTTTGGCTCTCTATCTTTCTGTCTCTCTCTCTACATATATATATATATCTATATTATTTCATTCTAAACTAAAAAATATATATTACATATAATTACAATTATATGGCTATATAATATATAATAATGTATATATTGTTTATAATACATAATTTATATAACATATAGTTTCCTTTTTATCAATCAGTTATCCAGTTCTTCCATTCTAAAATATATAGATTTAGATACATATAATAAATATACATATAATTTATAATAATATATAAGCAGAGAGACAAAGCCCTGGCACAGAGGGAACTACCATGTGGAGTCAGGAACTAAAGAAGAAATCTGACACATCCAGAAATATAGGCTTTAGCACATTAAAATAAAATATCGCAGAATGCAGGTAGGAGAAGGGAATAACGAGACCGATATTATCATAAAGTAGAATGAAAGTTATTGTGTAAACATGAAGAGTCATGACTTAGAGGAACAAGCAAGTTTGAACCCAAGAACTAAAAGCCCACCTTTCACGGATGCTGCTTCTGAGGAGTGAGATTGGCACAGAAAGTGGAGGACCATTATCGTCAGCATCATCGCTACATGACGTCACTTGTTGCCATATGAAGTGTTATGTTAAGATTAAAGATCAGGCGGTCAGTTCCAGAGGGGAAGCTGGGCTCACCCATGAAGTGCACATGTGCAGGAAAGAAAAACGTGGCAAATGCTCTGAGATTAAACTAAAATGTACGTCATTGCCCAGGACCCAGAGCACCAGACTAAGCCTCCAGTGATGTGAGTGAGGGCAACCCAGAGGGTATATCAGGTTTTTGAAACTGAACTGATGTGAGAACCACTTCTAAAGGTTCAGAGAAGAAGAAAGTGCCCATAGAAGTAAAAGGGTAACCAAGTTTTAGTAAAAATGTTCAGCCTTCAACAAAGAGTTTAAAAACAAAATCTTGAAGCCCAATGTTCAAAATGTCCATTATACAATAAAAATGTAACATAAGTAAACAATAAACTGTGGGCAAGTCTTCAGGTAAAAGGCAACCAGTAGGTCCCAATACTGAGATGACCTAGGTGTTAAAATGATGAATAAAGACTTAAAACCAGCAATTGTAACCATAGCCCATGAGGCAAGTGTAAATACTCTTAAACGACAACTTTTTTTTTTTTTTTTTTTTTTGGTTTTTCGAGACAGGGTTTCTCTGTGTAGCTTTGCGCCTTTCCTGGAACTCACTTGGTAGTCCAGACTGGCCTCGAACTCACAGAGATCTGCCTGGCTCTGCCTCCCAAGTGCTGGGATTAAAGGCGTGCGCCACCACCGCCCGATGACAACTTTTTTTTAAAAACAACAGAAACATATAAACTGTTAATGCTACATGATATAAGTGGAAATTTTAGAGATAAAATAGAATATACAAACATTGTATCTACTTAGTAATAGAACTCTCTTATCAGAGGAAAGGCCAGTATACTTGGAGACAAACTAACAAATGACAGAGAGAAAATAGAGTTTTAAGAAGGAACAGTGTCCATCTTCTGAACCAAATAACTCCTTTCTGGCCCAACTCAGTGACAACCTTACAGGGGCATAGCCACTTTCAGGGAATTTCAGAAAGGACAGAGGAAAAGACAGCTTTCTTATTTCCAGATGGTGTCATATGAGTTATGGAGTGAATGTCTTAGCTATATCTACTACAAGAAGAAACTAGTAACATTATCTTACAAATGTCAAAAAGAAGCTTTACATTTTTTAATTATGTGCCTGTGTGTGTGTGTGTGTGTGTGTGTGTGTGTGAGAGAGAGAGAGAGAGAGAGAGAGAGAGAGAGAGAGAGAGAGAGAGAGAGAGAGAGAGAGAGAGAGCTCGCAGTGGTATGTGCGTATGGGTGTAGGTATCCACAGAGGCCAGAAGAAGGTCTCAAATCCCCCGGAGCTGAAGTTACAGGCAGTTGTGAGCCACCTGTTGTGGGTAGTAGGAATTGAATTCAAGTCCTTTGCAATAGTAGTACATGCTCTTAACCACTGAACTATCTCCCAGCCCCAAATCCAAAACAATTTTGCAAACAAATAATTTGGACATTTTCTACTTTTTTATTTCAAAACTTACTATAACCTACAATAATGAAGAAAGTGTAGCATTAAGGTATGGAGAATCATACGGATCAAAGGAATAGTATTAAGAGTCCATTAAAAGGTTAATAATTGTGGCCAATTAAAATTCTTACTTGGAGGGAAAAATTGATACAGTAAACTTACCATATGGCTGATAAATAGGCATTTTGCTAATATAAATGGAATCTTATAACCATGCAAAGACTTACAAGTACTGATATCAGCATTATTCATGATGATAAAAAGGTATTCAAGTGTCTAGTAGCTGGAAAGGTGATAAACATAATGTGGTATACAATAAGATTGTATACAGGCACTTACATATGAAATACACAGAGAAAGCTAATTTACAGAGCTAGAAGTTGATTAATAATCACCTGGAGCTGAAGGTGTGATCAGATTTTAAGATGATGGCTGGAAAATGTGATATGTGGCTTTAACTGTCAACTTGACCCAACCTGGAATCTAGGAAGAGAGTCTCAACTGGGGAGACCTTCTACAATGGGTTGGCTTTTGGACATGTATGTGTGTGGGAGAGGAGGGGGAATTGTCATGGTTGATTGAGTTAGTTGATTTGGGAAGACCCAGCCCACTGTGGGCAGCACCATCCCCTAGGCACTGGATCCTGAACTGTGTGTGTAAAAGTGGGAGGACGGAGCTGAGCGACAGGCAAACAAGCAAGTGAGCGTGAATGCACTCGTTTCTCTCTGCTCTTGACCGTGGGTGTGATGTGAGTCTAGCTGTTGGGAGTTCCCACCACTGTGACTCCCTTGCAGCGATGGACGGTACGCTGGGACTGTGAACTGAAATAAAGCATTTTATCACAGTAACAGAAATCCAACTAGGTCAGTTTTGTTGAAAAACACTGAAATGAAATAGGTGAATTTCATGACATGTAAATCATACTCCCACAAATTTGCTTTTTTTTTTTTTGGCAGGGGGAAGGTAAAAATAGGTGGCCATTTGTTTCTGGCTTGCTCTATATAACTTCAATCACAATGTTTTGCATATGAGGGAGTGAGAGAATATGCATAGAAGTTTCTGGGTCTATACTGAGCCACATCCTTAACCCTGGATCTACTTTTAAACCAAAACATGAACCTAATAGCCCTTTCCCACCTCCAAATTTCTATGCTGCAGAAGTTGGGGCCTTCTATCCTGGGGTATTCTTTTTCCTTTGTCATTCATCAACTTAGTAATTATTAGAGTGCCCATCAAAATCATTCTGCAGGTTCTCCTCTTTACAGACCGTCAAATGCCACCTTCTTCAGGACACAAACTGTTAAACAGAAAGTGGTTTTTTCTCTAGTGTTTTGAGGCTGTCTTCTGCAGTGCGGAGCCATAAAACCGTAGCTGTGAATTTGCTGTGCTATAATTTTATCACGAAGAAAGTATGCAGCACGATACTTTATGAGTTCACCCGCAGGCTCTCGCTTTGGGAGGTCTCCAATGCATGATGGAGATGACCATAAGCATATAAATAAACCTTAGGCAGTTCCTGAGTCCTGACACATTCAGAACAGTTTGGGTTCAGTTAGTTAAGTGGCTCATCTCCTCAGTGCTGTGCCAGTGGGTCGTTTGCAGTCATTGGTCATTGCAATCTGTTTGCTGACGCCTTGGGGATTCACTAAAAGGAGTAAACATATGGTCTGCTTCTTCAGAGATAAAAATTCAGACATGGATCTTCAGCTATGGGCAATCAGTGAACTAAGGGTTAAGGTCTCTTCAGTGGCCTGTGGGATATAATCTAATCCTTAGATTAGTGTTTCCTGTAGTCTCCAAAGGTGTGATCCAAAATGTACAATGCACACTGCTCATTTGTTATGATAGTCCCATCTAACCAGATTTTGTGTCCCACCCACACTCCTTCTTTGGAAGCTGTACATTCACTGATCTAATCAGTCTACCAATGGTCCAGCATCACCAGAAGCATTGGTAACATCAGTGGTGGATGCTACCTCCTTATTCCTAGGCTTTCATTCAGAAGAAAAACCTAAAGCCTCATAGGAAGTTCAGGATAACCTTCTGCAGTATGAAAAAGGCCTCAGGAGGGTGGGTCTGCACCAGAAAACAGACAATACATTTCCAAACGCTGCGTAGCTGGCTGTGTGAACAGGCAGCATCTCTTGACCTTTCTAGAAATACCGCATGCTCTCAACCATCCTTTAGCTTCGTGTTTCTGTCTGGAAAGATCGACTTCTGCACTCTAGGAGATAGCTAAGCCTTGTGTGTACCAGGACATGGAGACCAATGTGTTGCTCATATTTTCAGGGCTGGAACTGAGAACATGAGTTCCACAGATTTCTTACCCACAGCATCCTGCAGGTCAAAATCCGTAAGCGTCCTTGTAGAATATTCTAGTTACTGGGTACACTGAGAGACCTGAACATACTGAGTTAAATCAGTGATGGCTTAAATACCCCACCTTCATGTAAAGTTCACGATCTCTCTGCTTCTCAACACCAATGTTCATACAGATCATCACAGATCAACCTGGCTGCCCAGGAGTCTGCCTGCCTCCAGAAAGACCACAGTCTGCTATTCCAAAAAAGTCACATGCGCCCAGCAATTCCAGAGAGGCCGTTTCCACTTTAGGATTCATCAGTGTGACAAGCTGCTCATTAGAATCCATGTCTGAAGTCCTGTCTTGAGGTTCACAGTTAGACTATCCCAGCACTCATCTAACTAGACCTCTTTGACCTCTGGGTCCCAATCTCTTAATGGTCCAGCCGGAAGGACGGGGATGA